TCAAGACAGTTCTTTTTACATTCTTAATTTATTTTAAACAAAATAGATTTACAATGTCAATTTCTACATTTCTTTTATTAAGACTGCAAAATTGAGTTTACTAGATTATTCATTGTGACCAGTTGTGAAAGGGCATAGGAAAATATTTCCACTGATTTTCTGTTGAGATGGCAAAGGGAATCGAATTTATAAGGGTTTAGGTGTGAAATAGAAATCTGATTCTTACCTGGGCCCATAGTTGCATACGTAGTTCTTAGTATAGCCTCGGGCTGGGTCGTAATAGAAGGAGTAGCCGCAGCCTACCAAATACGTGTCGCCCCAGACGAGCTACAATTCGAATAATAAATAAAATTATTTATTGCAAACAACTGTTTACTTGTCAGAGTTTCAAACAAAAGTTGTAAATATCATCAAAAGCTACAACTTTCGTATGAAACATTTTTTTCTAACATTAATATTTAACAAGTAATATGCAATAAATTATTTTCTAGTTTTTTGTCAATTACTCCTTAAATATTAATCCTAGTAAAAATGTTTTAAATAAAAGTTGTAGCTTTAGCTAAACTAAATATTGGAGTTAAAAAGATAGCACTTTATATTTGCAATCTTCCTAACAAATCTTGTAAAATTCTTTTTATGTATAAATTAACAAAACTGCATAATTAATTTTTTGTGCATTTCCTATGCACATTTTTCTTCATATTCTTTTACTCGATTCGAGTTTATTTTATAAAACCGCTTCTATGATTGTAAAAACTGGACAGAAATTCTGCAGAATTCACGTATGGTTCCCGAGGGCGTAGAGCCGTTTCTGGATACTTGAAAGACCATCAAACCTGTGTATAGTGGCCGGTGGCTTCGCTATATCCGGTTCTGTACTTCTGCACCTCGCTGAACCACTCGGAGATCCTCTGGCGCCAGTTTGCCTGGTCGTCGTACGCTCCCGGGGGTTTCGTCGTCCACGTCCGCGCGATATTTTGTCCCACCGTGAATCTACCTGCAAAGCCAATCGTCCCTTAATTGTAATCGATGACACACAATATCCTATGTCTTTTCACCATTTACTTAATTTATGGTAATATCGCAATGCCTACAGCAGTTAAGATTTTTTTATGATTCAATGAATTTATAC